AAGATGTACTTGACATTGTGAGATCGACATCTGGGATATTGTGAGACTTGTCATTCGCGGCATTTCGGATCTTCGTCATTTCTGACAGTTCAAGATACTATCTTTGGAAACATTGAGTTGATGTCAACTTTCCTCTCCTCCTTTTTTGTCTCTCCCCTCTCTCCCTACGTCCGTGTATGATCTCAGCCCCTGGCCCTTCGTCTATACTCGAGGCCAGGGCATTCGCACCCTGATGACTGTTTGAGAGTGTTTCGATTGCAGTCCGAGTCAGGTCCGAGTCAGTCCAAAGGTATCTCAAGTCTTCCACTTGCATTTGTATAAACTCTGTATTATCTGGTCGGTTCTGGGAATCTGCGCCATACTTATGAATGTGTTTCACGAGTATGCAACAGCCATGCTATTATTTGCGGAGGTCTTGTGCATATACGACCCGTTATTGCCAACGCGCGTCACTACGGATGCGTCCGACTATGGCATTGGTGTCGTCCTCGAACAACACGATGGTGTGGACTGGCACCCGGTCGAGTACTTCAGCAAGAAAGTGCCCGTCGTGCACTCCATTGCTGATGCACGCAAGAAGGAGCTCCTAGCCTTCGTCCACACGCTCAAGCGGTGGCGGCACTTCCTCCTTGGTCGAAGTCAATTCCAATGGGTAACGGACATCAATCCGTTGGTCTTCTACAAGACCCAAGACACCGTCAATAGCACCATCGCCCGTTGGATGGCTTTCGTCGACCAATTCAACTTCTTTCCCGATCATATTCCGGGGAAGTCTTAACCGTTTTTCGGATGCTCTTTCACGGCGTCCGGATCATTGTACCGCAGTCTATACGACCTTCGAGATCGACGACGACCTGTGGGACAACTTCATCCGCAGCTACCAAGCCGACCCCGAGTTTCGCGACAAGTACGCGAATTGCTCCTCTCCTAATCCGGCGCCTTCTCACTACCGGATCCAAGAGGGGTACTTGCTTGTCCACACACGGGGGAAGGACCTTATTTGCGTACCGCGTGACTCTCACTTGCGTACACGGTTTCTTGGTGAGTTCCACGATGCTCCCACCTCCGGACACTTTGGAGTCAATCGCACGATTGGCCGCCTTCGCGAGCGTTTTTGGTGGCCCGGCCTTCTCGACGACGTCACACGCTATTGTGAGTCGTGCGAGGTTTGCCAACGCTGCAAATCCCGCAACCATCGTCCATACGGCGAGTTGCGACCATTACCGGTTCCCTTGTGCCGAAGGGAAGCGATTGCCATGGACATTATCGGGCCGTTGTCGGGCGGCTGCCTACCAGCCGAACGCGCTCTTTTCGACAAACTTAACTTTTTTTTGGCATGTTTCTTTGGTTTTTGCATGTTTGAATGCATGGATGCGTGAGGCCTGAGGGGTTTGGGGAAATCTCGTTTTTTTTTTTTTTTTTTGTACTAACATTTGAACAAGCAGGGACGAAGGCGGTCGATGCAAGGTTGTAAGCGGGGTCAGGAGCGGGCCAAAATCAGAGACTTCCATGCGACGCATAAGAAATGAGAGAAAGGCTGCGGGTGTTGGGACTGAGGGGGGAAAGCAGGAAGAAGAAGAGCACCCACGAGGGCTGGCCGAAGACAGGGAATGGTCAAGCTAGCCAAGTTGTAACCAAACTACCGGGTCTTGAACGAGGTGAGGAAAGGAGAGCGGCGTGCCTACCAAAAGGAGGAAGGGGGAGGTTGATCCGACTAAAACATAAGAGGGTGGATGGGGTTGGCAAGTAAGGGGAAGCAGCGAGATCGACGAAAAAGGGGCAATCGATAATCAGGGAGGGAGAGAGAGAGAGAGAGGAAGAGAGGAGGGGAGAGAGAGATCTTTATGTAAGGGGAAATCGACTGTCGCGAACTTGATTTTGCGAGAGAGAGAGAGAAAGAGAGAGATTTTTATCCCGGGGGAAATCGATTATCACAAACTTGATTTATGAGGTTCCCTGCGTATCAGGCCGGGTCTTTCTGCAAGCTGCGTTCCTGCCATGGGGTTGAGCGGTGCGCTTGGTCATTGAAAGATGCGAGAGAGGGGCCAAGATAAGCGAGCGAGAGGCGGCCAAAAAAGTTAGAAACGATGGGGGGAGCAATCAGTTCTTGATAACTGTAAGGAGCGGGTCCGGGCCTTGAAATCAGGTCGGAAGCAAACCGTTTCGAGCTGGGAAAATGTGGGGGAAACCTGGCAGTGGAAACCAACCGACAACTTCGCTGACTAATGGAGATCGGATCCAGGGAGAAGACGAAGAAGGGTTGCGATTGGCTAAGACAGGTGAGGAGGGATCGAACGCAAGCGGAGGAGGTGACAAAGATCGTGATCAAACTCGGCAGGAATTCAAAAATTTTGAGCTGGAAGATGCGGGAGAGACCTGGCAGCGGAAACCAACCGACGACTTCGCTGACGAAAGGAGATTGGATCCAAGGGGAAGACGAAAGAGGGCTGCGTGCAATTCGGTGCAAAATTCGTCGAAAATAACACCCCTGGTTAACCACGTGTGTAGAAGGGAGGAGGGATCGAACGCAAGTAGGAGAGGTGATCAGACTCGGCGGGAGTTTAAAAATTTTGACGAACACACCCGGCCGAAGGCGGATTTGTTTTGGGGATATGATAGAAAGTAATTGGAGAATGGGAGGGGATTGTGGATCGAGGAACGAGGGATTGGGAAGTATAAAGAGAGAGGAGAGGAGCGAAAACCAGGAGGGGGCAGGGGAGGAACGCATGGATACTCAGGCGCCCAGTCGCACGTCAGCTTAGGAGAAGCGCTCGACACTTGGCCAATGCTCGCGAGAAGGAGGGCCTAGCTGGACAGGCATCCGCGGGCGGCCGTGGGGCAAGGAGTTCCAGAGGATTGAGGCTGGGAAGAGGAGCCCATGGAGGGAAAGAGTGCGGTAGAAGGGAGGGGTCGACAGCAGCGGACCGGCTGGCGGGGACGAATGACGATTGTCGAAAGTTGCGCATGAGTCCGCAAAGCACCGCAAGTCTCACCCGCGCCCGATAACGGGCCAACGATGGAGAAAGAGGGGGAGCCTTTTGGCCGGTGTTCGACGACGCGGGAACAAGGCGCTCGCTAGCACGTCCGAGCGTGCGAACGAACGAAGAAAGGAACAACATAGGAGGCTAGACAGACGGGAGGAGACGGGTCGCCATCGCTTAACGAGAGGTGGGCCGAAAAAGAGGAGAAAGGGGGGGGTAGAAGGAGAAGACCAACACCGGAGGAAATGGCCAGGAAGCGAGCGCACTTGAGGAGAACGATTGGAGAGGGCACGAGGGCGCTGAGAGACCTGCGGCCAGCCGGTGCACAAGGGGTGGGCTACACGTCCTGCCGAGGGGAAGAAGCCGAGGTGCGCGCGAGAGAGAGACAGAGCGAGGGGAAGAGAGAGGGAGAGCAAAAAAACAGGGGGGAAAGACCGGGCCAGTGGTCGGAGAGCGGTGCGGGCGACCAGCGTAGGGGCTGAAGCTGTGGGGACTGAGACTGGGGTCTGTACTCCGTGAATGTGAGAGGTCGGAAGCATTCCACTTCGAGCTTGAACTTGTCTCTCGGGTCAGTCCAACGGGCGAAGAGGGCTGTTTGACACCTGTCTCGTGACTAAGCTCGCATAGTGCTGTTTTTGACTTGTAACTAGCTGGCTCCCAGCGAGCAGGTGCAAGTCCCTTGCTGAACTGAGCTCTGTTGAGACCTTCAAAAACTCCATTTTGGTTTCTCAGTTGAAGCTAGTGATTGAACTGTTCGCTTTTGTGACCCAGCTCGTGTAGTGTCGTTTTCGACCTATAACTAGCTGACTTCCAGCGAGCCGGTACGAGTCCCTTGCTGAACTGAGCTCTGTTGAGATCTCGTGACTAAGCTCTGTTCAAAAACTCTATTTTGTTTTCTCGGTTGAAGCCATTGATTGAACTATTCGATCTTGTGACTAAGCTCGCATAGTGCTGTTTTCGACTTGTAACTAGCTGACTTCCAGTGAGCAGGTGCAAGTCCCTTGCGGAACCGAGCTCTGTTGAGACCCTCGAAAACTCCACTTTGGTTKCTYGGTTGAAGCTAGTGACTGAACTGTGTGCTCTTGTGACTAAGCTCGCATAGTCCTGTTTTCGACTTATAACTAGGTGGCTTCCGACAGAGCAGCACGAGTCTTTTGCCGAACAGAGCTCTCTGCTGAGGTCTTCGAAAATCCTACTCTGGGTCTCTATTGAAGTTGGTGATTGAA